TGTACAAATAAATTCAAGAACATAAACTTCTTGAGGACAATGATACTTTTCATTTTTATCCTCGTGTTCCTGAAACCTAGAACAATGCCTGGCACGTGGTAGGTACTTAAAAATACTTGTTGGTTTTAACTGAACTAAATTGCATTGAATCTTAAAGAAGTTTCTGCAAACTTCCTTCATTACATATAAAAGATGCTTACATAGCATTTTCCATACGTTATCATCTGAGTCTCACAATAGCCCTATGAAGTAAGGACTACACTTCTTTTTATCCCATTTTACATGACGGAGCCAAGTCTCCAAAAAGGGAAATGTTTTGCTAACTCAGCTCTAAGTGTCAGTTAGCGTGTGAAGCCAGGTCTTCATGACTCCATTGCCTCAGATTATAGGGCCATTTGAGCTAGAGTAGGAAAGGATCTTAGATAGCACTGAATCCAACCCTCTTATTTAACAGATGAGTAAACTGAGGCACAGAAAAGGTTTAATGATTTTCTCAGGGAGGGAGAGAATTTGAAACCAGGCTTTATGAGTACTCTTTCTACTATTCTAGACAGCCAGTTCCTGTTGGGAGTTCTCTGTAATACTAAATTGGTGTGTCATTGCTGTTATTTAGTGGCAGCTGGTGGTGACGTGGATTGAGCACTGGGCCTGGAGTCAGGAAGACCTGAGTTCAAATCCAGCTTCAGACACTTACTAGCAGTGTGACCCTGCACAAGTCACTTAACCTTTATCTGCTTCAGTTTTCTAATCTGTGAAATGGCAATAATAATAGCACCTACCTCCCAGGGTTGTTTTGAAGATCAAAAAAGATGACATTGGAAGAGCACTTTGTAAACCTTAAGGCACTATATAAATGCTAGCTATTCAGACCATTTTCCCTACTGGTCTAAGTAGAAATTATTAGAAATGGCAGCAAAAGATTAGCATACTGTACTTCTAATTTTTTATACAACTGAAAAGATTTCTTAATAATTACATTTAGGGGCAGCTAGATGGTGCAGTGGATAGAGTACTGGCCCTGGAGTCAGGAGGACCTGAGTTCAAATTTGGCCTCAGACACATGATACTCATAGCTGTGTGACCCTGGGCAAGTCACTTAAACCTGATTGCCTTGCAAAAAAAACCCAATAATAATAATAATAATAACAAGATTTAGAGGCATTCAGTTGGCTCATGGATAGAGCACTGAACCTAGAGTCAAGAATACCTGAGTTCAAATCCAGCCTCAGATACCCTGCTATGTGACCCTGCCCAAGTCACTTAACCTCTGTCTACCTCAGTTTCCTCATCTGTAATATGGAGATAATAATAGCATCTATCTCTAAAGTATCATAAAGATAAAAGGAAATATTTGTAAAAATCTTTCACAAACCTCAAAGCACTATGTTAATACAAATTATTAAAGAGCAATAACCCTGTGAGGCAGTGCAGGTATTATCAGACTCATTTTATGAATGTAGAAACTGAGGCACCAAACTGAGTGACTTACTCAATGTGAGACAGCTAGAAAATGCCAGAGGTAGGATTTGAACCCATTTGCAGTGCTCTCACTGTGCCCAGATGCCAACACTATAGACTAACCAATTCTAAGTCTTTAAATTTCCGTTCCTAGTTATTTTTTCTCAGTCTTCTTGAAAGAAGCATTTTAGCTGCCTTTGTCTTGCCTCTGTGTTGTTGTTTAGTGGTTTCAGTAATGTCTGACTTTTCATGACCTCGTTTGGGATTTTCTTGACAAATATACTAGAGTGGTTTGCCATTTCCCTCTCATTTTACAGATGAGGAAACTGAGGCAGAGTTAAATGACTTGCCCAGGGTCACATAGTTAGCAAGAGTCTGAGACCAGATCTGAACTCAGGAAGATGAATTTTCCTGACTCTAGCCCGAGCGCTCTAGCCACTGCACCACCTAGCTACATTTCTTTAAAATCGTCTGCCTGTCTTTAAAAAGAAAGAGCCCCAAACCAGACACTAAATTTCAACAATATTCTGGACAATGACAAGCAGACTTTTAGAAGTTTATTTCAAAATTTTTACATTCTGTTCAAAGATCAACAAACATTTATTAAACACGTATTGTATGCAATCCATTGTGCTTGGTGTAAGGTATACAAAAGATAAACAGGAACTGGCCCCTGCCCTGGGGAGCTTACATTTTACTATGAAGATTCCTTGGGCATATATTATACCCGGAGGTCAGAGAAATGCAAGAAGAGAGAGAAGGAGCCTCAGCCCGGATCAAGAAAGATTTCACTGATGGAGTAGCACCTGAGTGTGGGAGGAAAGCCAGGATTCCGAGATGAGGAGAGAGGGCACTCAGAGGATCATGAGATTGTAGCTTTAAAGCCGAAAGGGATCTTAGAGCCTATCTGGTCTAATGCATTCATGTTACAGATGAGGAAACTGCACAAGTGGTCAGGGGTGGGAGATGCCGCATTAACTCTGGGGATCAGCTAGCTTGACCTGAAGCCCGAGTTCATGAAAAACAGTAACATGAAATAAAGCAGAAATAATAAGCAGGAAACAGATTTTGAAAGGCCTTCAATGCCAGACTATGAAGCTCACATCTCATTTTCTTTAGGCAAATATGCTAGTGCCTTCCTTCCAATTTATCCTGTACATGGTTTGTCTGCACACTGTTGGTCACATATTAGCCTGGACGTCCCTGCTTCCTCCTCAGGCTGTGAACTACATGAGGGCGGGGACCATGTTTTTATGTAGTGGGTATTTAATAAAGACTAACTGATGACTGATTGACTTTAGACAATGGGAAGTAAATGTTTGAGAAGAGTGACATGGTCTGACCTCATTATATATAGGAGAATCTTATTTGATTTATCAAACAGCTCCATGTGTCCCCATTAGTGTATTTTTGTTTCGACACCGGCTTTAATATAACAGTAGACACACTCTCTGACGTGTGTATCATGGTGCCATGCTCAACAGCAAAAACACCGTGGATGTACACTGGGTTGTGTTGGTACAAGAACTGGAAGACCTACTATTTCCCATGGAAAAGTCATAACATCACGGGTCAGACATTAAAAGGCTAGTTCAGATTCCACAAACATTGTGTGAAGCAAATTTAGCCCACAAGGCAACAGCTGTTACTGCCCTCTGTCAGTGACAAAGGAATAAGAGAACGGATTAAGAGGGAAGGAATATATGGTTTATTGATGTGGCTAGCCATGTTGTTGACTGTTAATCTTAGCCGTGGGTGGTCTATGAGGTCATTATTTTAGATGCGAAAGTAATGAGGACTGATTATAATCCAAGTTGCAGAAGAAAGAGCACCTGTCTCAGAGTCAGAGGAGATGGTATCAAGCCTCAGCTCTGCTACTAAGCAGCCATATGACCTTGGGCAAGTCACTGCATGAGGCATCTAGGTGGCACAGTGGATAGAGTGCCGAACTTGGAGTCAAGAAGACTGGAGTTCGAATTCTGCCTCAGACACTTAATTGTATGACCCTGGGCAAGTCACTTAGCCCTTATCAGCCTCAGTGACATCATCTGTAAAATGGGGAGAATAATAGCATCTACCTTATAGGGTTATTGTGAGGATTAAAAAGATAATGTATTTAAAGCAAACCTTAAAGTACTGTATAAATGCTAGCTATTATTACTTCTCTCTGGGCCTCAGTTTCCTCATCTGTAAAATGAAGGAGTTGAATAAAAGTCCCTTCTAACTGGAAATCTATAATCTCAAGATAGATTTTTAATATAATAATTATTGGCATTTGCAAAGTGCTCTCTACACATTTGACCCTTTCAACTACCCTATAGAGAAGCTAAAGACTTGTCCTGGGTCCCACAGCTAGCAAAGCATCAGAGGTAACAGCTAAACTGAGGTCTTCCTAATGCAAAATCCACCATGCTATCCACTACACCACGCTGCCTTTCATAACACACATCAGAAAAGTAAGTAACAATACATTTACAAATAGATTTTCTACAGAGTTTGGGGTTTCTGTTAAAGTTTTATATAAAAAAGAAATCTTAGTAGTGCTCTAAAGTTTGCAGAACTTAGTCATTAAGGACCAAAAATATCAAGAAAAATGAGTATTTGGGAGGAGTGGGGAAGGGTGTATGGAAACTAATGGAGAAGGGAAACTGAAGTGCATTCCCTGGTTATAAAAGAAAACCAGCAAAGTAGTCTTGCAGGGAATTTATTCAATCTTTCTCCTTTTTTTTTTTTTTAAGTGAGACAGTAATGTAACTTAGGGTTGACGTTGTGTCAATGCTAAATGGATGCCGGAGACAAATTCTCTTGTCCTCTTGTGCTTTCTTTACTGTCCAGATCGTGAGAATTATTTATATGCAGAAGAAAAGTTACTTACAAAATAGGAGAGAAGTAATCCTAATCCTGGGAAAGGAGCTAACCCAGAGTGAATTCTGAGGAGAAATTAACACTGCCTTCTGGGCTAAAATGCTTTATTTGGAAGTGGTCTACCTTCAAGGTTCAGTTCAGGCATCATCTCCTTTAAAAAATCTTTCCTGGCCTCCCCCCCAGTTGTTAGTTGTCCACTGACACCCACAAATTATTTGTAATTTGTGTTTGTTTTGTATTTACTTAAATTTGCTTCTTCCTCCTCCTAACATATCCAAAGTAAAATGTGGGCTCCTGGAGGACAGGAACCCTTCCTTCCTTCCTTCCTTCCTTCCTTCCTTCCTTCCTTCCTTCCTTCCTTCTTTCTTTTTTCCTTCTTTCTTTCCTCCCTCCCTCCCTTCCTCTCTTTTTCTTTCTTTTTTCTTCCTTCTTTCCTTCCTTTCTCTTTCTTTCTTTCTCTTCCTTCCTTCCTCTCTCTCTCTCTCTCTTTCTCTCTCTCTCTCTGTCTCTTCTCTGTCTCTGTCTCTCTCTCTCATATTCCAACCCACCTAACATGGTGCCTCAGACACAGTGGGCACTTAATACATCCTTAATGAATTAAATGGAATCAAATCAAAGTCAACATTGCGCAGTCGCAGGGGAATCTTTTCAGTCATGATATGTTTCAAATTCCATACCTTGACGGACCCAGTCTTGATTATGAAGTCTGTGCTCTAATATTGAACAGCATTTGTGATAGCCAGATACCAATTCTTCCCAGTTAATGGTCACCGTGGTTTCCTCGTCTTCAGAAGAACTCGTTGCTGGCCTTTCAAACAAGGAGATCAAGGCTGTATTGAAGGAGATTGCTTGAACCTGAGCCAGAGATGACATTGAAATAGATGTTATGTGTGTATGGGGAGGAGGGATGAGAAGGAAGATTGCAGCACGAAAATACTACATTGTTAAAAATTCATTGTGTGCAGGGGATTTAAATGTTAATATCAAATTCTTTGCCATTTTATTTAAGGAAAGTTGACTTATGATTTTTTTTAAAAATGGAAAGAGCTATAAAGCTTGGTTAAACAGACTTAGTACATCTGACCTCTGAGCATGTACAAAATTTGATATGGGTTTATAAAATATCCTTGAAGCTCCAGATGCCAAGGTGGACCATCATTCATTGTTATGGAAGAGGAGGCCAGCTGGGCAGACTACACTAGAGGTCATCTAAACATTATCTGGAGGCAGGGGACACAATGGGCAGGGTAGAAAGAGGGCTAGCCTGCTGCAAGTCATCACACAGAACCTCACCAACCCTCAGACCCTGGCTTTCCCAACCATAACTAAGGTGGAGCAAATGGGGCTTTGCCCCAAGGTGCCAAAGTTAAAGGTCACCAAAAGCAATTGAACTCTTTCAAAAACATAGAACAAAAAAGCTAAGTGCCTAGTTTTCAGCAATAATTGGTTAAAACAGGAAGATACTAGATAGAGATGGGAATTTCTCCTTTCAATTCACCCTCCTCCTTTGGGCCACATCAGCAGTGGCCTTACATCAGTGTACAAGAGTCTATCCTTTAATTTCTAACTAAGGGCATTTTCTGTGCATCTTCACCTAAGTATGGTTTGCAGTGCTTGCTCTAGGCACAGAAAGCTCCAAGTCAATGATGCTACTGGTCTCCAGAAACTCTGTCCAGTAGCAAAGGCTCATGGAACTCCCCCCAGATTCTTGGTTAACTATTGTCAACGGCTTGGAGCATTCCTATATGAAGACTATGGGCAGCTCCACAAGGGTGAAAGCCCCAGAGGTTAGTGCTACACACAGGATCAGATACCAGGACTGCAAATTAGTCACCTCACCTCTCTGGAGCAACAAGGCTGACGGCACCTGAGAGCATCCTCTATGGGTGATTCTGATCAGCACCTTCCCTTCTTGTGATAACATAAACACTTAGAGTATGTATCAAGTATAGAAGTATATGCCAGGCCTGGTATCCTGAGGATATCTAACCATTGACATTTAGTGATTGATTCTGCCCTAACCTTGAGTGTCAGTACTTGTGGGTCAGAACCTTAGGCACTGACTGGGCTGAGTAAGATGACCGCCAGAGTTTTTGCTCCTGAGAAAATACTTATTCCTGCTGGTATGTATCTGTCTGTGGGGGGTAGGAAGGAATCAGTGGGAGTCAGGTAGGGAGTTGCCACTGCTAAGAATTGGCCCTATGTTATTCTGGCTAAACTCAGACCTGAAAGTGTAGTTCTATCAACAACAGCCAATGAAACTACTGTGAAAGAAATGGTACTTTCATAAAGATAGTCCAATCTTGGGCCTAGTCATTTCAAAGGAGAGGAAAAGTAGACTTTTAATATGTCAAGTTTCTTGATTTTGGCATCCAATAGAAGAGTCCTCCACAATGACACAAGCCTAACAAATACTTCAAACTTGATGAGATTCAAAGAGTACTCATTAATGGTTTGAAGTCAACTCAGAAGGAAATCATCATAATAATAATAGTTAATATTCATGTACTAATTTAATGTTCATAAAATTTTTTACATATATCATCTCATCTGATCTTCACAACAGCCCTGGAAGGGAAGTGTTATCATTAGCCCCATTTTTGCGAATGAGGAAACTGAGGGAGAAAAAGCTTAAGTGACTTGCCCAGGGTCACAAAGCTTATAAGTGTCTGAAGCTAGATTTGTACTCAGGCCTTCCTGACTCCACATCTAATACTCTATTCAATACATCACCCTGAGGAAACCTAGCCTGGGCCACTTAGCATTTTTTTCCCAATGACTTATAGAAAGTGGCATAAATGCATGCTAATCAAATTTGGAAGTGAAACAAAGCTTAGAGAGATAGCTAACACATTGACTGACAAAATCATTCTAGAAAATTCTTGCTGGGCTGGAACATTGAGCCAAATCTAGCAAGAAGAGAAGGGATTCTGAGAGATCATTCTTTTTAGGAATGAGTTTAGGTATGAATTGGATTCAATGGATTCTCCAGAGTCCTTTCCAACTCTGTGACTGCTTTCCAAACCTTGGGGAAATTACTCATAATTATAAAGCTAGGCATCAGGAGACAGTAATCACTGTATGAATCAATACAAATCTTCCGTTTCAAACACTCACCTGGGATTTTATCATCTCTAATGTTGTTCCATGCTGGAGTGTCCAGCCACCATCCCACTTCCAACCTTCTTTTCTGTTACAGACAGGTGTGTGTGGTGTGTGTGTGTGTGTGTGTGTGTGTGTGTGTGTGTGTGTGTGCATGTGTTAAATCTATAACCTTCTGTCTCACCCAAAGAGCCTTCAATTACCTTTCCAGCTATGTCCCCAAAGGTGAGCACTGATTCATTAGCATCTTGCGGGTTATACCAATAGTGCATGCACATGGGCGTGCTCCCAAGGCCTTGCAGCTTGTATTGACAGGGGAATTCTTTATTAGAGAGCAGGTCATAGAAACAAATCTCTTTGCTTGTGGAAGCCACAGCTATCTAGGATTGGAATGGCAGAGAGGGAGAGATAGTTGTCAGTTTAATTCAGTATGCCTGAATATAACCAGAAAATCTAGTTCACAGAGCTGGGTAATGCAGAGGTGGGTCTAAATGACCTATGGGGTCCCTCATAATCCTGAAATGGGTGAGTTTAACCTGAAGAAGAGACAACTTGTGCTGGGCCATGATGGATCCATTCAAGTTTTGAAGGGCTGCCATATGAAAGTAGGATAAGACTATTTGGCTTGGTCTCCGAGGAGCAATGGGTAGAAATAGCAGAAAGGTCAAATTCGACATGGGATAAGGAATAATCCCTAATAATTTGAGCTAACCTAAAGTGGCATGGCTGCTTTCAGAGGTCAAGAGATCACAGCCTTGTAGCTGGAAGAGACTCCAGAAGTTATCTAGATCACTCCCTTGATGTCATGGTCCTCTGAGAGATTGAAGGACAAACAACAGTCTAACTTGCTTATTTATATCAAAGAGGAAAGTGAGGCTCAGGGAGCTTAGACGACCTACTTATCATCACACAAGTAGTCAGTTGCAGAAGACAGGTTTGAATCCAGGTTCTCTGACCTGAAAATCCAGTATCCTTATCACTTACTGAATGACTTCCTCTTCATTTGAGGTCTTTAAGCAAAAACTGGATAATTTCTTGTCAGGTGTATTTAGCACAGTGCCTATGATGTAGTAACTGCTGAATAAATGCTTTGTCTGTCTGTCTATCCATCTATCTATGTCTCTCCATCCATCTTTCTCTCTATATCCTTCTATTTACCTATCTCTACCTCTCTATCATCTATCTACCTATCTCTGTATCATCTACCTAATTATCTCTTTATCTATCTATTATCTATCTATATGTCCACCTAGCTATATAGCTATCCACACTGTAGGAGAAAAACTTTTTCTTTTGTAGACTATCAAAATTCTAAAATTCTACCCATAAGAGACAATTCCACACTTCTTGGTAATCTCTTAGTTCTCCAAGAGTAAGAATCTTCAGCTCTCATTCTAGTCTAAAATCTACCTGAACATACTGTGAAGTAATTGGTATAGTACCAAGAGTATTTGGGTACAAAACAAAGAGACCTAGTTTCCAAGCTAAGACTTAGTAAAAGGACAGGGGCTGAGGAAAAGATGTAGAGGGTATTCTTTTTCAGAGAAAGATGATCTAGAAAGCCTCTGAGGTCCCTTCCCACTCACATTTTGTAACCTATATTCCATAATCTATAGTGCCAAAAAATAGCTAATGATTTAATTAAGCCACTCTTGGATATTCCCAAATCTTACAAGCATATTTCATTCTTGAAGGAGCCCTTGGATTGTAATGTATTTACATAACCTTGCTATCAACAGTACACTAACCAGGGCTTTTGCTTCTAGTAAAGGAAGAGTAGCCTCATCTGGACAAGAGAGTACTGTGATTTGGATCAATTTCCAATGTATCATTTACAGATGAGGAAGGTTCAATCATTTGGGAAATGAAAAAACTCGCAGTTCCAGGGTCAGTCTCTGCAAATCAGGTCATGGCTCTTCAATGAACATCTATAATATGGCGTCTAAGGTGGTTAAAGTGTTTTTCATTCATTTTTCATTTGGCCTCATGACAATGAATATCAAGTGGACCTCAGGGTCATAAAAGTCAGTTCATACTGACTTACACTGGCAAATTACTTAACTTCTCATATCTTAAGCAAGTCTCTAAGCCTGTAAACTGACCTACATCAGTAAGGGAAGTTTTTCAATCTGAGAGTTCACTCTATCAATGAAATCCCAAATCCAGTCCCTATCTCATTTGTACCTCACAACAACTCTATGGGACAAGTAATTCAGACATTATTATCTTTATTTTACAAGTGAGGAAATTGAGGTTTAGACAGTAGAAGCAATTTTCCCAAGGTCATGTAACTAGGAAGGAACAGATCCAGACCTTGAACCCAGGTTTCATAGAATCCTAGGCTTGCTGAAAGAGACCATACATATCACCTAGTTCAACCCTCTCCTTTACATTTGGGGACACTGAGTCCTAGAGAGTTTTGTGACTTGCCTAAGATCACACAACTAGTAAATGGCAGAGCTGGGATTTGAACTCAAGTCTTCAGCTCTAAATCCAAGGCTCTTTCCCCTACACCATGATGCTCCTATATCTTCTAGCTTAAAATCTGATGGTCATTCCATTACATTCTGCCCATTAGATAAGTGCCCATCTCCCCATAGCATTATCCTACACCAATTTATTAGGCTAAGGTTTTATTCACCTGATCCTGTCATATAAAAAGCCTTGAAGTCATTAAAAAAAAATCTTTGTACCTTGTTTACATTTTCCAGAGGAACTAGGCTTGTCACCCACAGGTTTTTTAGCTTGATAGCATCTGAAGTTATAGGAACTTTTTCTTGAAGTTTTAAATTCTCTTCCCAAACCCCAAGCAAACCTTCCTTGCTTACAGTCAGGTAACGGCTTGAACTTTTCAAGAAGATGACTTTCTGGATGGCGTCTTTATGTATCATTGGGAGCAGCTGAGGGTCCTTCCACTGGGGAATCATGGCAGATTTCGTCCGCTCATCTTTCTCATTGAGGTTCAACAGTATCAAGGAGATCAGCTTATCCCAGGTGATGCTGTCATCCTGGGCCACATCAACTTTATCAAACAGTTCCCCATACTCTTCCTTGGTCCCATGACCAAGGACTTCTGGCATCCTCTCCATGAACTCTTCTCTGGTCATACACACTCTATGATCTGACCCTGGAGGCTTCAAAAAGAATAAAGAAACTTGTATGAGATTTAATTCAAATCAACAAGCATTTTTTGAGAGTTGCTACCATATGTAAGAAATGATATTTGGTACTAAGGATGCAAAGACAGAACCAGAAGAGAGTCTGTCCTCAAGGAGCTTATGAAAGAAATGTCCACAAATAGATTATATTTCAACATGCGAAGGACCTGTAATCAAGGATCCACAGATACAATTCCTTCAAACTTTAGGAAATGGTCTTCCAGAGTTGCTGTGACTAAAAAAAAAAAAAGCATCATCATGGCACCAGCCTGGTGATGAGGTGCTCTGAAGATAACTTATCTCTCAGACAATGGCTACAGTCTTTCATTGGAACCATGTCCAAAATCTTCCCCAGCTTTTTAGGGCAAATCAGAACTTGCATTCCCTCAATGTACCTTTCAAGAACACAGAATTACTTCCACTGCACAAACAAGGGATCTGAGGAGGACACAAATACACCTCTAAGTTAAAATATGACTGTATGTAGGACAGGTCAAATTGAGAAGTATGAAATATTAAAGAAAGGATAGGTCCCATCTAGATGAGGGCAATCAGGAAAGGCATCATGGAAGTAAGACTGGAAAGAAGAACTGGAGGTAGACAGTGAAGGGTCCTGGTGTTAACTGGCTATTTCAATGATATGTTTGAATTCTCTCTCAGACATTTACTAGCTGTTGGCACAGGGCAAATCATGTAACCTCTCAGTTTCAGTTTCTTCATCTGTAAAATGAGGATAATAGCACCCACCTCATAGGATAGTTGTGGGGACCAGATGAAATAATGACCCCCCATCCTTACTTCTGATATCTTTACTCTGAGATTCCCTCTAATTTACCCTGAATATATCTTGATCGTACTTAGCTATTTACACATTGTCTCCCTCCATTAGACTGTGAGCTTTCTGAGGGCAGAGATGAGTTTTTTTTTTTCCTTTCCTTGTATACCCAGTGCTTAGCACAGTGCCTAGCGCATAGTAGGTGCTTAATAAATATTTATTGGTGGTGGTGATGATGATGATGATGATGATGATGATGATAGTGATAATGATCATGATTAGGATGATATATGTAAATCACTTTGCAAACAGTAAAGGACTCTAAAAATAATAGTTCTTATTTTGTGGAGAAACTCCTGGTGTGGAATTTGCCTTATGTACATCTCCTCACTTGATCTTTTATGTGGGGTGGGAGGAGGGAGGATCTGGATCTGTGATTTCACTGGTATAGAACAAAGGTGTTGTCCCGTGCAGCCCGCAACACTTCCAAGTACAGCCCAAACCAGATTAAAATGTAGTTTGTATATGATTTTAGTGTGTTAATTTCTTAATAAAAAAGTGCATAAACATGTGTAGTTCTCAATAAGTCAATACGTGGCCTGCAGGAATACTTATGTACAATTTTGTGGCCTGTTTCTATTTGAATTGGACACCATTGCTGTAGAGAACTAAGAAGGAAATCCCCTAAATGAAAGCATCTCAGCAACTCAGCTGTAACTTCTGGTCTCGGAGGGTTGCCTGGACACTGAGTAGCTAAGTGACTGGCCACTGGCCACACCAAGTCCTCCAAAGTTAGCCCTCTGTCTGCTACACCACAACTTCCTATCCAAATGCCAAGTTACGGAGCATAACTTTTACTTGATAGTCAAATGGGAACCACTGAAGCATTTTCAGCAGGCGAGTGACTTGATCAGCCATGCATTAGAAAGATTACTTTAGCAGGCTTATTGACTCATTTTTTTTTCCAATTCAACCACATGAAGAATGGACTGATGAGAGAGAGAGAGAGAGACTGTTAGGAGAAACCATGCTAAGAGGCTATTCCATTGGGCACTCAAGTCAGCCTAGATGAAGTGATATGTATCAGGCAAGTCAAATGACCACCACTATCTTCTTTCAGATGCCAAAGCTAAGGACCTTGAACTCAAGAATTCTGGCAGTGGTTGCATCTCCAGACCATCAGTCATGCTTCCAACCCAGCCACTATAACCATCATCCCAGAAAGCAACTCCTGTGGAGATGGGGCCTACTTTCCCCAGTACCAATGACAGGCTGATTAGCCCAAGAGCCCTGGGAGTATCAATACCCTCCACCTTCCACTGGTCCCACTTCCAGCCAAGGCACCACAACAATTATCCTGAGAAGCAACCCACATAAATCTACACCCTGACATTTTGCTTCATTGAATGTTGAAGCCAGCACCACTGAAGACCCAAAACAGATAGTTGTCATCCCAAAGTTCTTGGCACTGCCAAATGGCTCAACATCAGAAATGGATAGGATTTCATTGGTCAAAATAATATTAAAGTGGTTATACTACCATATACTTTGCTGTTGTCCCCTAAAGACCGTGGGAGCTTTCCATTTGACTTGCAGCTACAATCTTCTATATATGTTGCCCTTCCCACTTGAATTTGAATTTCTTGAGATCAGAGGACAATATTACTTTTCTATTTATATCCCCAGCACTTAGCACAGTACTTTGCACATATGCTTTTCTAAAACTAATTTGTTGATATTAACTTAAACACAATGAATACATATTAAGGGTTAAGAAAAGTCAAAGAGGTAAACCCCACCCCCCCAAAAAAGATTAATCTCACAACTACATGAGCTCAGAGGAAATAAATGCCTCATTCACTACAAATATTACAATGTCTGAAAGAGATGAAGCAAGATAATCTTTTAAAAAGGAGATTAAAAATAAAGTGATTGGGAGAAAAAATATAAAGGAGAATGACTTAGAATAGATGCTGAAAAGTCTTACCCAAATAATGAACTTACTAAAAAACAGAATGAAGAAAATGGTACTCAATGACTCCTGGAGACAAGAAATACTATAGCAAAGTAAAAATGTTGAAAAAATAGAATAAAATGTGAGGTATCTAACATGCAGATGTTAGATACATGCATATTTGTATACTAAATTATATATTACATATGTATATACAGGTATATAGATAGACATTGATACAGATTATCGAGATACAGAGAGATGTAGATGTAGAGGCAGAAATATGGATATGTAAACTGACCTGAAAAACAGGCCAAATGGTGTTCATTTAAGAATCATATGATTCCCTTAAAATTATGACTGAACAAAAAACCTGAAATTGTATATCAAGAAATCATAAAAGGAAATTCCCTAGATCTATTAGACCAAAGTGCAAAATGAAGTAAATAATTTATTGACCATCTCCTCAAAGAAATCTCAAACCAAAAAACACAGTCAAAGAAAAGAATGTCTTCTAAGTCAAAGAAAAAATACTGTAAGTAACATTAAGAGAAAGTAGCAACTACCAATAAGGTGAGAAAACTTTGGAATAGGTTATTTCAAAAGGCAAAAGAAAAAGAAGCATACATCCAATAACAACTTCTCCTGAAAATCCAAGTATAATCCTCTGTGAGAAAGAATGAATCTTTTTACAGAATAAAGGACTTTCAATGATTTTTAATGAAAAACTGAAGCTGACTAGAAACTTCGACTCCAAGTCCAGCACTCTATCCACTAATCAAGGATGTCTATTGTCACCACTATTATTTGATATAGCTCTAGAAATGCTATCTAAGCAATAAGAAAAGAAAAATAAATTGAAGGAATAACCAGAGGCAAAATGGATAAAAATTATTACCTTTTTCAGATGACATGATGGTCACGCCATCTATGTGTCATGGAAAGAATTCTAGATATTCAGCAAAACTGAATGAAACAATTTATAACTTAATCAAAGTAGCAGGATATAAAATAAATCCACAAAATTATTACCCATTCTTCATATTACCAACAAAAACCCCCAAAAGATGGAAATATAAATTTCATTCAAAAAGGCTACAGAATGTGTAGTCTATTTTGATGTCCACCTACCAAGACATCACAAGAATTTTATGAATATAATTAGAAAACATTCTTTTCAGGAATAAAGACAGACATAAATAATTGGAGTCATCATAGGATCACACCTATAGGGCTGGAAGGAAGGAACCTTAAAGACCAGCTGATCTAACACTTTCATTTTACAAATGAGGAAACTGAGGCCACACAGGGGGGAGGAGTAACTTTTCCAAGGTCACATAGGCAGTGAGCATCAGAGAAGGCATTGGAATACCGGCCCTTTGAGTCCAGGGTCAATGTTCTTTTCACTGCCCTATGTTGTCACTAATTGCTCATGGTAAGACCATGCCGATATAATAAAAATGACAAAGCTACCAAAATTAACGTATTGTCATACCAATCAAACAGCTTGAGGAAGAAATTTAAAGAATCACAAGAGAAATAGTGAAAAAAGAATGGAAATGAAAGGGCCTTCTAGCATCAGATTTCAAGTATACTACAAAACTGTAGTTATTAAAAAAATTTACTACTGGCTAAAAAATATTGGTGGAATGGGAACCAACTATCCCTACCAAATGTCAACCAATTGCCTTCAATAGGGAGATGAGTCAACATAGCTTGAAGCTACAAGACCTCCCGAAGGAAAGACAGATGAATCAAACCACTGCCACTGCCTACATCAGTGGTTTCAAACTCAAAGAGAAGCAGGGGCTGCTAAACCATATGTAAAGATCCCTGCTCTTCACATATTGGAAAACTACATGTGAATATTATCTATGTTTTATGTTTTCATTTGCTTTGTTAAATATTTCCCAATTACATTTTAACCTGGTTGGGCTACACTCAAGAGTATTGAGGGCCACCATGTTTGACACCTCTGATCAAGATCATCACCTTCCCTCAAAGTTCAATGGGTGCAGAAGATATTGCAGAGGTAAAATCACTAGGAGTTGGCAAATGACTAAAGGTAGAACATGAGGGAGAAAAGCCAAAGATAACTGAAAATTTTGTCCTGGGCAACTTTGAAAGTGGTTGTTACTATTAAGATAATAAAATAGTTAACAAAACGACAGAAATCTGGATTTGGAAGGTAACTACCTACTTCAACCCAAGGGAATGTGCTGTAA